GGAGGTGGAGCGAAGATGGCAGGAGATATTCATAATAGTTTCTGTTCTTCTGACTTCTTCATCTTCCTTTTCTTTTTGTCATTCTCTTCCCTTCTCTGCCTTATCCCACTGCTTGGAACTGTGAAGAACGGCATTCTTGCATGGCTGATATTCTCATCAAAAGATTGGGGGAGGATCATAGCATGTACTTGGTTTGTTGTATTTTGTTTCTACACAGTTCGATTATACCCTGGTCCGGATCATGTCACAGGTCAGACCTCTGGTGCATATCATTCCATGCTTTAACCCAGTTGTCCGTATATGGATTGGGTTTGGTTGGCAGTGTCAGGCCATTTCACCCAGGCCCAAGTCCTGTTGCCGAGCCAGTGAGTTGGACCTGAACCCGGTATGGACCCAGGCCACACTTTTTCACGCCTGGGATGGAGGACAGGACAGAGGCTTACCTTCTAAACCATTGTATTACCATCTGATCTGATGACCTATGCGTCAGGCCAGGTGGAGGCACAACTGGCGCAGCACTATATAGCTGTGGAGAGGACCAGTGTTGGGTGGGTGGGTTCCTTCTTTCATGATGTCACAAGGCCGCTGGATTGGCGAGTGGAGCAACAGCTTTATCTTCTCCCAGATAGAACGTATGGTAATTATCGCTGTATCCAGATTGAAAGTTGTCGTCCCAAATACAGCTATACTGACCATAAGTTCTCTTCGGGGAAAGAGTAGGAGGAGAGGTGTAGACAAGCGGGTCTCTCGCCTGGTGCCATCACTTTGGAACCCCCCATCAGCCATAGCCAGTTTTATTCTTCGTGATACCTGCGTATCACCAGTGGCTCAAGGCTCTGCCTTTCCACGGTCAGTATCATGTGTGTGTGTGTGTGTGTGTGTGTGTGTGTGTGTGTGTGTGTGTGTGTGTGTGTGTGTGTGTGTGTGTGTGTGTGTGTGTGCCACCCAGATGAAGAGATTCAAAATGAAAGCATATTTAATCCTCTTACAGACAACGAACGCCCTTGAGTTCATACAACCCAACAATGAAACAGTTTCACCTCAAAAGCAAGCAACATGAAGTACAATAGCTGCATGTAAAGTTCGTCTCCCCATCGGACAGCTGGCAGCCTAGATGTAAACCCCTTTCTTGAATGTGTTCACATTTGCTTTCTTCGGGGTACCCCTTTCATTTGTCCTTGCAGCTCCCCCTTTACCGTGCCTCTCATGCACAAGGCTCGCCACGTTGATTGTGGTTGACCGCGAGCTGCCCACATCCCCGTGTGCCAAAACCGGCCCACTTGCACACTATGAAAGGAGGCAGAGCAAAGGCGGAGGTATATTCCTGTCCGTTTCTTCTCAGATCTTCAACTTATATTTCGTCTGTTCGTAATGATGCTCATTCATATGTTTTAGTAGTTATACACAAGAGGAGGGAGGAAGGAAATGGGAGGTGGAGTTCTGACAAGGTTCTAAATAGTGACCGCTTGGGCAGATCACTCTACAATGGCACATGAGGCCAGTCAGTGTGTGGGTTGCATAAGATTTGAGGAGCAGTTGTTGCCTATGGTGACTGGCCACCTCTACAGACCGGGCAGGACCGGTTTTGGTGTGGCCTGTGGAAGTACCGCATCCAATTCTCACAGTCACAGTTACTGCAGCGAATGGCACGCCGAAGACCGATGTCGCAGGCTACATGGCTCCTACATGCTGGGAACACAGAGGCACGTCGACCGCAATTGTAGAGGCATTGCCGTTCCAGCCCCTGTCTACAAGTTGGGCATGACATGTCAGGGTGCCGTACACGAGTGCAGTATTGACTGTCATCATACGTATGAAGACAAAAGCTCGCCCGGGCTATCCCTTCATAATCCTCACGGCATACGGCATGTGAACCACATGCTAGCTGAATCTCCGGTGGGTCATCACAAAGTGGCATGGAGCAAGTTTCTTGGCTTTCCTCAGTATTTATTCCTTCTCTATGGGTAGACGACTACGGGGGAGATTGATCCAAAGCAAGGGCGCTCAGCTGCTGCAGGATTTGGTTTGCAACATATCGCCCTGGTGGAGACAACCCATCAGTACAGCGCTCTGTAGGTGGTTCATATGGTAATCTATTTTCCTCCTCAGGCTGCTCCGCCCGTCGTCCGTCAGGCAAGGAAGAACGAATTCCGACTGCGGTTGCAGTAGGTGTATGACCAACACCGCATGTGGGACATGATAGGAGAGGATGTGGCGGATGATGGCACTGGAGATAGTCCACACAGTAGAGACACATACTTCTATGACAGCTTCTTGGAAACATTGATGGCACATGGCATGTTGCTGACATGTCATCAGCAAAGAAGGCTGACGTGCGCAATTATTCAAGCATGGCAGATGAAGGCCACAACGGCAAGCTGGGCAAGTAATAAAGGGGTGGGGGTGGGGGGGTGAGTACACGACAAACTATTGCAGTTTTCGTGGCAGAGGCTGGCAGTGACCATTCCTTCATACTGTTTGGAGCAGAGAGTATGCCGTGCGCATGCTAACCGGACTGTACCTGTGCGACAATGCAATGGGAGGAGGGAACAATCTCCATCCCCTGGAGAGGGCCCTTCACGATTCGTGGTAGAATCCGTTCGATCCACACAGGGAGGGGATGCTGCCTTGTTATGAGCCTGGCCAATTTCGAAGTACAAAATTCATGAGAAAGCACAATGTGCTGTCCAATTGCAAAAGAAATGAATGAACTTGAGAGGAGAGAGAGGGAAAGAAGAAGAAGAAGAAAGAAAGAAGAAGAAGAATGTACACCAGCAAAGACCAATGCTAATTCCCTTCTTCTCGCCAACCACTCTTCTCCTCCTTATCTCCTCCCCTCTTATTTCACAATAACTAATAATAATAATGTTGAATGGCTGAACCAGAATCAATGTCCGAATCCCTCTTCTACCCCTTGTCATAACATGATGTCCACCATAGCCATGGCCGCCTCCTCCTTCCTCTTCGTGAAGGCCGAGGCTATGGCGGACTACTAGGGCCTTGCCCTGCTGTGCAAAAGACAACTCAAAGCAGCTATGGCTGCTCCTGCTCAGGCCGCCATGCCTGACTCTGCCTCGAAGCTTCTTGATGTAGCTCTACCCCAATGGGCTTTCCAGATGCAGCGCCCACCAAGGTGATGAAGATGTCATCCACCATAGCCAGGCAAGTACCTCTGGGTGCTCCTTCCCCAGCAGCGCTGCTCAAGCGGTGTGTCACCAAACTTGCACCTGCAGAATGAGGAGGACCACTTTGATCCTCCTGGAGATATAGCGTCCTGCTTGCCTCTTGGGCAGTGACTTCCACGCTGCGCGGCCTCCAAGCAACGGATACCTCCTCCCTTCCGGAGGGGAAACATCATTGCAGACTCTGATATTGCCCGTACAGGCCCTAGACTCAGACTGGTTGGACTGGTACCTGCCTAGACCTAGCCTACAACTACTGGGCCTCAAAAAATGCCAACTTTTGTCTTCTTCTGCTCAGCCTGGAGTACCCGACACATCTACTGCTACTTGGTGTGGTACCGGCCTACCTGCTAAGTGTTTTTCCGCTGTTCTAAGTGTCGCGGGCCTCTTTCCCCGCCACTGGAGTGTTTTCCCTGCTGCAACTCTCAATGTCACGGTGACAGGTAAGTATCGGCCCTCTGGGCCTCCCGAATGAACGAATACCCTTGCGGGTGACACACGCACTCAAACCGACACACACACTCAGACAGGCGCGCAGAACAGCAAGCTCGCACACACACAAACTTAGAAAACTCAGCAACAACCGGGAGACTCAGCAAGGCATCCATTCCATGGCAAAACTCATAAATCAGCTGTGTGTCTCAGTCCATGTTTGGCAGGTCCTTACAGCCTGAGCATGCACAGGGAAGGAGGTTCAGCCGGATTGCTCTCCAGAGGCAGTAGTGCTTGCGAGTGCTCATCGCCATACTGTTCCTGATGGACGAGCCAGACCGAGTGATGTTCTACCGCTTGGTGATAGAAAGAGTTGATATATCCTGCTGTGTGCACCATACCGCCATTGTAGGGTCCATGAGTTATCCGCAAAGGTAAGAGCACTGAAATGACCTGGAGGATGTAAGATGTATGCCCGAGTATTTGGATCCATGCCTGGCACGTGATTTTGTGGAGTAGGCTGAAGTTGTAGTCGCCTACCCATAAATGCCATAGACAAGACTTCTATGTTCACGCCAGGTGCAGTACTGTCATCCTCTGGGCAAACAGCACGGTGCTCTAAGTCTATCCAGCGGAAATCAGAAACAGTATGAGGGTTGCAGTTGTAGGCAAGGAGACACACATTAATGGCATAGTATGCACAGCGCCCTCGCTGCAGCACTGTGACATCATCCGATTCTGCAGGTTGTGCGGCAGGGGGAGGTTCATCCAATTCTCCAGATTGCACGGCAGGCGGAGATTCATTGCAGTCTTGACCGTTTCTGTCACGTTTGCAGCTACCTGCGCAGCATTTGCACGAATAGCAGCCACTTTGAGCACAAATGCGACTGATCAACCTCCGCTTCCCGCATCTGACCCATCTATACCTCATCTACCTGACCCTGCATGCTCCCCTGCCTCAAATGATAAACACGCCTGCAGCACTTAAGAAATCATTGCCACATTGTGTGTGTGTGTGTGTGCTGTCTCTTATACACATCTAGATGTGTATAAGTGTGTGTGTGTGTGTGTGTGTGTGTGTGTGTGTGTGTGTGTGTGTGTGTGTGTGTGTGTGTGTGTGTGTGAGAGAGAGAGAGAGAGAGAGAGAGAGAGAGAGAGAGAGAGAGAGAGAGAGAGAGAGAGAGAGAGAGAGAGAGAGATGGCTCTATTGTTAGAAAGCATTTCTCCGCGATCTAAAATTTGTGACTTCTTTGGTGGTGAGTCTTCTTCTTCTTCTTGCTTCTTCTTCTAGCTCTTCGACCATATACCACTTCACCTTTGTCTTTGTATGCTGGGAGTGAAGGGGTTACTCCTATGTTTGGACCCGTCCCTGCTGAATGTGATTGCAGATCTCTGTGACATTGTCGATTGTGCTGCATTATCATATCAGTCCATGTATGATTCGAGTTTTCTGCCGTGCTACACTACATCTCTCTCCCATGCTGGTGATCCTTGTATTGCATACTGCCTGCAGCTCACCTGGGCATGCATGAGCAAGGATGATACTAGGTGTGTGTGTGAGGGAGGGAAGGGGGGGGTCATGTGCTTGCAGCGAGGGAGGCTGCATGGATATCCATCGAACCAGTTCCTGTCAGATGGGAAAGGAGAAGAATGCGCCATGCGCAAAAGAAGAAAAGGACGTGCAACTTTCCACTGTTGGGCAACCACACTCCAGGAAACTATATCTGCTAACACCTGCGGCACCATACGGTCGGTCTCCCCGCAACATCCACAGCTCAGTTGTATCTTGACATATTGAGGGTGAACACTGAACGTTCAATTCTGAGCTTGAATCACTCGCGTTTGCATTCCCCTGATGTCCTAATGGAACGTGATGATAACTGCCAGGAAGCCTACAAATATACAAATGGCAGCAATATCAATGATTGTATCTGGGAACCTGTCCTTACTCCATTTTCCTGCGTACACTGCAGCTGCCATCCTTTTTCTTGGCTCCTGCTGTAGTCGAATCCATCTGTTCAAAGGCATTTTAAAACTAAAAAAAAATCTTCCTGTGCCCATTGTGTCCTCACTTTCGTCATCAGTTGGAGTAGGGGAAAGTGCTTCAAACCCATTAGCAGTGGTGGGTTGAGCAATGTCCCCACTGTTGCTAGCTGCACGGCGATCGGATCTGTCAAGTAACGACCCCCTTGATGAGGTCGCGGAGTAGAACTCGACTTCTTGAGCTTTCCCAACTGCTTGAATCTCATCGTGTGCCATAATGACGGCACCACCATCTCCAAGAGAAGAATTTGCGACACCAGCAGGCAGCAGCAGCATGTTTGGGTTCCGAGCCGTCATGGCCTCGTCGAGGACCATCTGAAATGGCGAGGCCTTTGGACTGGGCTCCTCGTGTACGGAGGGGGAAGACATTTCCTCTCCATCCGTGCTCGTCGCCCGAGCTCCATTAACATTCACGTATGGCGCTTGACTTCTTTCTTTTGCATCGCTGTTGACAAGCTTTTCATACAATCCCTTATGCCACATAACACATCTGATACTATCTCCCTGAGTTGCTGTGGTGCCATCCCCCGCCTCCGCCATGAGCGGATGTCCTCCTTTGCTCGTCCTCCAGCTAACTAGCAAGATTATTGCAGTTGTCACTGCCATATTGCAGGCTGCAAAGTGAAGGAAGTTCAGGGAGTTGAGAGCTGCAAGAAAACGCGATGCGCCCACCCATCCGTGGACAACTTCGAAGAAGAAGCGGATAACGCCCAGGCTGACTCCGATTGTTAGGCCCCACTGGGCACCAGTCCCATTGACCCAGGGAATAAGCAAGCCCCACAGGAAGACTGCGAAAATGGGCGGTGCAACATATGAAGGCGGCTTCTGGGTGTAGAGAAAGAGCTGTTCACCAAAAACGGGTATGAGAGGAAGCCAGAGCATACTGACAACAGCTGTCAAAACGACGACCACACGACCAGTCCAGACTAGCTCTTTTGAAGAAGCTCGAGGGAAGAAAGGCTTGTAAATGTTCATTGTGAAGATAGTTGCACATGAATTGAAAATGCTTGCTAGGGAAGACATCAACGCGGCCACCGTGGCTGCAATAAGCAATCCCTTTGTGTGCTTAGGTGCCACATTTACAACAAGCCACGGGTACGCTCTGTCAAAAACTTGTTGGTGGCTATCCTTCGTCACAACCCCTTTCCTTTGCATGAGCGCACGGGCAATCATTCCAGGGACAACCATAATAAAGCCCGGGAGCAACTTGAGGTAGCACCCGGCAACGCAACCGCCCCTTCCATGCTGGATGTTTCTTGCTGCCAAAGCTCTCTGGACAATAACTTGGTCTGTCGTCCAATACCATAACGCAACAAAATAGTAACCGAATATAAAGCCTGTCCAAGGGAAAGTCGGATCGCTTGCAGGCCTCAGCAGGTGGAAGTAGTTCCTGTTGTGATTGATTTCTGATTTGAGTCCGCCAAAGCCACCCACTTTCTGCAATCCGACGGCTAACATCATGCATCCTCCAAGCAACAAGATAACTGTTTGAAGAGTCTCTGTGTACACGACTGCTGCAAGACCCCCTGTGACGGTGTAGAGGGCTGTAGCTACGATAAGGGCGACTGTGGCTGCGAATTTGTTCACGTCAATCAGCTCTGAGATAATGAGTTGCCCAGCAAACAGTGCAGCGGAGATCTTCGTGAAGATGTACAGAAATAGCGACAACACAACTATGAAGGTCTTGCAGTAACTGTTATAGCGTCTCCCCACCCAATCTGGCATTGTGTTTATTCCTGCGCTCATGTAGACAGGAAGGAAGAAATAGCCAAGTGCCAGCACGCATGGCATTGCACCCCACTCGTACCATCCGACTGCAATTCCACTGTACGCTGCTGTTCCCGCCAAGCCAACGAAGTGCTGTGCGCCGATGTTGCTTGCAAGCAATGATGCAGCCACCGCCCAAAACGGGACATTTCTTTCCGCCAAAAAGTACGATGTGGCACTGCCTCCGCCACTACTACCCTGTTTCCCGTGCTCTCTCCTTGAAACAGTCGTTCCGATTATGCCCACACCAATGAAATAGAGTGCAATCGTAAGCCAATCCACAGCGCTGAGGGATGCTGACATGATTGATTGGTCACCGCTGCCAAAAGGCCCAAGATAGAATTGCAGTCGAGCCACCTGCTGCTATTGGGCCCAACCGCCAACTCCTTCCCAACTTCGGCTAACCAGGCAGTTGCTGCTATCCTCCCTCCTCGTGCTGCTAACCAACCAGGCAGCTTTGCATATAGACATACTTTAGCTAAGTCCAATAGTCTATACTATAGTATAACCTGGGAAAGCAAGTCATACAAACAGTTAATGTCTGATGACTGACTTCAACTATGGAGGATCATGCAGCTTGGTCTATTTCAGAAAAGGACCATTTTTTTGAAGGATCTTGCACCTCGGTCTATTTCAGAAAAGGACCATTTTTTTGAAGGATCATGCACCTTGGTCTATTTCAGAAAAGGACCATTTTTTTGAAGCTTGACATGTATGCTGAGCAAGGACGGATGATAGCACAACTGTACAAGAGATGAAAACAACTCAGCACACTGCTTTAGCAATGAACCCCATACTGACAATCCACATCCAGATCCAGATCAAATGCACAAGATACGAGCTGAGGAGAGCATTAGACCACAAGGGCTGGCTGGCAATAGGCATAATGCAATCGATCGAGCTGTAGAAAAAAAACAAACGAACCCGAACTAAGTTCAACTAAGTAAAAAAAGGCTCAGAAACTAACTCAAAAAAAGGCTCAGAACTGACTAAAAAAGGATCAGAAAAAAGTTACAGAAACTCCAGAAGCATCATCACCACAACCTTGTGAGGAGCAAATGGTAAGATAAGAGTCAGGACTCAGGGGTCCTTCAGAATATCTGTAAAAACTAGAACGATACAGAGAAGATTAGCATGGCCCCTGTGCTTTCAAGGACGGCACGCATAAATCGGGAAATGGTCCAAGTTAAGCAAGAACAAAAGGAAAAAAAAACAACAAAGATAAGAGTCCAGAGGTCACTGATATGTGAAATTGTGAATACAATCAGGAAAAACTGACTGCCCTAGCTCAGTTGGCATGTGAATACAATCAGGAAAAACTGACTGCCCTAGCTCAGTTGGCATTAGCATCAACTACTATCAAGTTACTTTTGAAAAGCAGACCTGAGTTCGAGTTCTGATTGAAGCAGAACAGTGAAAAAGTACTAAAAAATCAGTAAAAATGCCTCTGAAAAAAAATTACCTTGGGCCGGTCAGATCAACGATGATATCTCAAGGCTGTCGTCCCCCTTTTGAAAACAAAAAAAGAGGGGGAACTACACAAGGTCCTTAGAAAATCCAGGGGAGACCCTGGCTTAGAGGCTTGTCAGCCCCAACATTCATGAGTCACCAAACAACGCCGAAGTCTGAACGACGCAAGACAACGACAAGTTGACAACCCATTGGCTGTGCAAACTTGCACCTCATTGTTTTTTCGCCGCAACATTGCACAGCTGCTAACAGGGACTGTTGATATGAAGACAAGGGTGAAGGCCCAACGCTCGCAAAGAAAATCGTAATTGTTAAAGGCAAAGCACCAACATTCCAAAAACTTTTCGAAAAAAAAATCGGAATTTTTTCCACAAGCATTCACAAGGGTGAAGCTCAACAGGAGAAGGTGGAGAGGGTGAGCAGCGGGTAGCAGCACAAAGAACCCAGGGATGCCATCTCTCATCAAAGCCACATGCACATCTGCTAACAAGGACCGTTTGTCGATATGAAGACCAACAACTGCATCAAGAAACTGTCTTAGCCAACAGTTAAAAAAAAAAACAATCAGCGTCTACATTGCCGTGCATTTGACCATAATATGCTTCCGCCAATGTCCACAACTAACTCAGCTTAAGATCAATGAAGTCCAAACCAAGCAGATTCATGCAAAGAGCAGCCGGATGAGATCCGCAACATCAACAAGAAAGCGGCTAGCAACCTGCTTCTCCCCACATGACTCCAACAAGCTCCTTGCCCCACTAAGCCACTCGACGATTCGATAGCAAACTACGACAGCATAATTCATGGACGGTATCGCTTTCAAGGACGGCAGCCGGGATCCAGCAAGCGAAAGACAGCCCAGGGCAGACCCTGCTAGTTGCCACTGCCTCCTCCCAGTGCCAGCGCTGGCTCAACCAACTCCACCTTGACCCGACAAGTCTCAACTCTCTTATTGTCATCCGGATCCTACTACTTCTCGGCGAGTCCTCGCCTCCTTGATGGCCCCTGTGCCTACCGGTAGTGCTGCCTCTACTGTGCCTTGAAAGCCCCTGCACAAGTTCCTGTGTAATGGTGGAGGATATCAACATAGCCAGCATGAATAGAAGTTCAATTACCTTTAGCACTGCAGGAGGATATGGCAGCAAATCTGCACAAAAGCAGCAAGGGGGAAAACCTTGTTGAATGCATAACAGTGGACCGGGGCATCCTTGCAATAAATGGCCAAGTTTTGCAGAAACTGGGAAATGATCGGCATATATAGGCGATGTTGCTTGGCTGGGCCTCTAGCCCCCAGAAGGTTAAATACCAGTACCATTGGCACTTTCTATTTCCACTTGGAAGAGTGGCTTGTCCCAAAAGAAAACTGCAATGGAAGTCCCGCGCCGTTCCAGGGCCTTGGACCCACTGGGCAGAAAAAATGCCATCCGACAAAGGGAGTGACGATTAATGTCTTATACAATTCTATGGATCGCTGAATATTCATTCGCTGTCTTTTTTTATGCAAAACACATTCAGAAATTCCCTTTGCATCTCTGTGCTGCATGTAACCCTGGAGAAGCAGAACCTTTTTGCTTGTTTGTGTCCAAATTAGCAGCGCTGCAGCAGTCAATTGACGAAGAACTTGAGAAGCAGAAGCTTTTTGCTTGTTTGTGTCGAATTAGCGGCAAACAATTGACGAAGAGCTTCAGCAAATTCGGAAAGAGAACAGAAAAGTTCAATTTTACCAAAAGAAAAAGTGAGTGAGAACTTGACAGCAACTTTCCGGGGTTGCCATATGAGATGAGTGCAGTCAGAATTCAGAAAAACACAGGGCTGTACCGGCAACCGGCCGGTTGGACCGGGCCGGATCCAACCGGGCCGGTTGGACCCCAGGTGGTCCAACCGGAATTTCGATTGGCCCAAAAGAGGGTCAATTTTTTTTTTAGTTATTATTATTTTTTGAAAACATGGTCGGACTGCACTCGCGGAGATCTCCCTGAACCCGCAAAGAAAACTGTGAACAGAGAAGTTTCATTCCATGGGGGTTGACGGGGGGGGCGGGGGGGTGTATTTCGGGGGTTAGGGGTTGGGGGTTGGCGGGGCTATGGTGGGGGTTTTAGTGGTGGGGTTTCAGCAAGCACGGGCTTCAGCAAGCAAAAGTGAGGCTATGGCCGTCTATGGGAGAGGGGTTATGCTTTGAGAACGTCCAGGAGGAGGAGGAGGAGAAGAAGAAGATGAAGAAATTAAAAAGGGCTAACAAAGAAAAGCGCGTCCTTGGCAGGCTACATGAGGCTACTGCCCTGTCCAGCAACTACCGCGCCCATGAAGTGGCGCCTCAAGAAGAAGAAGAAGAAGAAGACGACGACGAAGAAGAAGAAGAAGAAGGAGAAGGAGCAGAAGTAACTAATGACTTACCGGTGGTGCGCGGGCTGGGGTTGATGTCTCACAAAGAAAAAGAAGTGGCGGGATGGCGGGACCAGGGGACGGAGGTGCGACGACGACGATGGGCTGGAGGTGACGAGGAGGGCACGCCAGCAGTTTGTGGGTGGAATGGGCGAAGGCGAAGGAGGTAGCGGGCGGTAGGTTGGGGGCAGCAGGAGGGCAAAGTCAGGGGAGGGAATGGGTAGGCCGATGGGTGAGTCCTGGGCCGGTACTTCCTGCCCAAAATGTTTCAAAAGAGTGGCCTATCTGGGACACCGATCTCTCGAGATCAGCGCCCCAGATCGGCCACCCTTTTGAAGTGTTTTGGGCGGGCCTACCGGACCCGGGTTTTTCTTTTTTTTGGCCAGGAGACGTCCACAGCCTGCGTGGAGGCCCTTGGCTTAAAAAAAAAACGGTACCCCCCCCCAGCGGTGATGCGCTGGGGCTGACTGGGGGACCGGTTCCGGTTGGGGGTGGGGCCTGTGGTCAGACCGGAAATACAGCCCTGATTTGGTGCCTTCTGACCACGGGCTGCCCTTTTCATTGGTCAGATATTGACTACAGAACAGCGGTTCCAGTAGGACTTCCTTTGTCTTAGGTTTCAGAGTTTTTTTGGGTACGAGTTTGCACCAGGCTCGGAGAATGGAAGCCCAGTAAGGTTTAGGGACTGGATTAACGGCCGTGATGGTGGACAGATTGACTGGATGGCTTGTTCTTCTGTTGCGGCGTTGTCCACTCTTTCGCCATGACCCAAAATATGCCTTCCATGTTGTCTGGACTTGTTATGGGCGCCAGTTTTCAGATGCTGTCCAGCGCCAGTCTGACCCAGGGGAGAGAGGGGCGATGGAGCAGTTTGATTACTCACTTCATTTGGAGATCAGTGACTTACTGTTTGGGGTCCAGTAGGTCTAAGTCTCCTTCCTCTGGTTTCCTGGTTATGTAGTGCCAGGCCACCTCGTTAACGCAGGACTGCTTGGATGGGTCTCCTGGCCACAGGTAGCATCTCACTCTTTTGTTAAGTTCTCCTGGGGTCTTGCTGGGAGGAGACCAGATGGAGGACATCTGCCACAGAGTGGAGAAGATCGAAGCATATATAATTCGAGCCCTGCCTTGGAGTCAAGTACTTCTCTGCATGGAACTAGCCTTGTGATTGCCTTGGCTACCAGGTTCTGTCTAATACCAGGTCAGGCTCTATCCTTATGTACCATAATATTCCAAGGGCTCCTCCCCAGTGGTCCAGGCAATCCGGTTCGGAACGCTCTCTACTTGGGTGAGGGGGCTCTTGGCAAGTCACCAGCCTGTTGTCTTGGACCAATTGACCTTCATTTGAAAGGCCAGTCTGAATGCTTCCATAGCGCGGACTAGGGCCTGGAATGAGTAGTTGGTGGCCCTGATTAGAGCAGTCAGATCATGAGCAAACATTAGCGCTGTCGGGAGTGCATAATCGTGGAAGGGATTGGTGTGATTAACTCACAGTCTGCCAATTGAGGGGTCTTTCCTCAGAAAGGATGTTATGGCCTCCATAATGAACAGGAAGATGGGGGGGGGAGCAAGGGGTCACCTTGGCATACCGATCTTGAGATTAGGTATGGGGTGGATATTATTTTGTTGACTTGCATGGTCCCTGATGCGTCATTGTAGAGAATTTTTACCCATTTCCTGAATTTCTTTCCCGGCCCCTCTTTGTGCTTATATCAGGGTTATGGGGGTCTCGTAGGCTCTCTATCATATACAAGTGGTTGGTGCCCAGCTCACGGTATCAGTTGTCGGCCAGTCGTTGATGCTTAACCACAATCGGGGTTAAGGTGGATTATCACTTACAGTGTAATCAGTTAGGGGATTCTGCAGACTGTTGAGAGTTCAGCCTCCTGATGAGTCGGTGAAACTCCGACGAAACAGTTTGTCACGGCCCCTCGTTTGTTGTCCTCTTCTCCCTCTCTGCCGACGGGTTACCTGGCCGTTCTGTTTCACAATATATACCACGACTTCGATAGCACCGTGCTACGTTTTTCTTCGGTCAGGTTGAGCATTTGTGGTCGGGCCCATCACTGCGCGGCCATGCTGTGCCTCTAGTGCCAACCGCATGTCCGAAGTGTATTTTTTGGCTGTGATACTTTGTTTCATGGGTTGCTTGTGATGGGGTGTGAACCGACAGTCTGTAGAGTTTTTCATCTGGTGTGGGTGAGTGATAGTCTGCTTTGATTTTCTTCACAGGTACATTGAGGGCAGTGGTTGGTGCCCACCTCAGGGTATCAGTTGTCAGGCAGTCGTAACCACAACTGGGGTTAGGGTGGATTATCATTTACAGTGTAATCAGTGAGGGGATTCTGCAGGCTGTTGAGGTTCAGCCGCCTGAGGAGTTAGTGAAACTCAGACGAAACAGTTTGTCACAACCCCTCGTTTGTTGTCCTCTTCTCCCTCTCTGCCGACGGTTTACCGGGCAGTTTTGTTTGACGATAGAAGAGGACAACAAATGAGGGGCTGTGACAAACTGTTTCGTCGGAGTGTCACCGACTCATCAGGAGGCTGAACTCTCAACAGTCTGCAGAATCCCCTAACTGATTACACTGTAAGTGATAATCCACCTTAACCCCGATTGTGGTTCAGCATCAACGACTGGCCGACAACTGATACCCTGAGGTGGGCGCCAACCACTGCCCTCAAGGTACCTGTGACGAAAACCAAAGTGTCCTGGCTGGAGTTCAGGGTTGAGCCTTCGGTTATAATTTCGATGATTTGGGAACCAGTATTGCGGTACCCATCCTACTTACATTTTTCACGTCGGCCCGTAGGCTGTAGGATAGGGCTCCTTCCTAACATTTCTTTTATTCTATCGTGATCAGTGCCCTTGGACAGGTGGATTTCTTGCAGGAGAAGGACGTCAGGCCGGGTGCCTTATTTTTATTCTCAAATCGATAAAGAATTTTTCTGAGTGAGGACGCCGCCCGGCCGGGCCTGCCTGGCTGGGATGGGCCCGGGTAAACCGGTTGGGCCAAAAAAACGCCCAGAATTTTTTTATTTTTTTTTTTGAAACTGGGGTCGTTCTGCGCTCGGCGAGAGGACCCCGAATCTGCAATAAAATTTTAGTTTTGGGGGGGGTGTGGGGGGGTTGGTCTGGGTGGGGGTTGCTGGGGTTGGAGGGGTGTCTGCATGTATGTTGCCTGCTGTGTGCTGAATGTATGTCATCTGATATGTACTGGGTTGGTGGGTCTGCATGTTTATTGCCTGCTGCTCTGCTGTCTGCTGCATGCATGTTATCAACCCTTTCATTCTGAAGAAGAACAAGACTGACAAAAAATGAAGAAGACTGACGAGAAGAAGAAGAAGAAGACTTACAGACTGACAACTTGCAGGAAATCTTTGAGTTCTTCAGCAGCATAATCAGTTGAATATGGCCAATATTGATCCACATTCGAACCTCTCTCTCTCTCTCTCTCTCTCTCTCTCTCTCTCTCTCTCTCTCTCT